TTTTTTTTTTTTTTTTTTTCCTTTTACCCACCATGTTAACCTAATTTTACTCTATGTCGGAATATACCTCTAACAACTCAAGCTCCAACTACGAGTAGATATTATATGTTTTGACCCGTTAAGTAGATATTGTCTGTTTTGACCCGTTAAGTAGATATTGTCTGTTTTGACTCGTTACGGATTAATAGATATTGTCTGTTTTGGTCCGTTATACATCATCGTCAAGGTCATGAACTTTGGCCCATTACAAACTAGCGAATTTTGTCTGCTTCAATCCGTTACGCATCATTGTTAGCCTCTCCAACGAATTAGTAGATATTGTCTGTTCTGATTCGTTTTGTTCTCCTCTCGTACTAATGTGGGATCTCACTAAATATATATATTAGTCGACTTTAAGATAAAGTTTACAATTTTGAAACTTTTCTTTTGTAACCTTCCTAATGTATATATACACCGTTATATTAGTCGACTTTAAGATAAACTTTACAATTTTGAAACTTTTCTTTTGTAACCTTCCTTTTATATGCATATATACCGTTTCATTTTTATCATGAACTTTTAGTTGACTTATGGTAACCGTTACGAAACTTTTCTTTTGTAACCTTCCTTTTATATATATATACCGTTTCATTTTTATCATAAACTTTTAGTCGACTCTAGGGTAAACGTTACAATTTTGAAACTTTTCTTTTGTAACCTTCTTTATTTTGAAATTGATTCAAAATATTGATTTCGTTAGCTTCTTCGTTACATTGTAAATTTGAAGAATTTGTCACATTCAACTTGGAGAGTAGCAGGATTAGATCGGAGATTATGGTAAAATATTGTTTTCCGCTCCTCGCGATCAAACGATTTGGGCAGAACAACGTTTTTGGAGATGATAAATAGAAAACAAAAGGCAAGTGAAAGTCGAGCTATATCAAAAGACAAAAACGGAGACAAAGTAAACACAATACAATCTAACTAGTATTTAACTTTTCACACGAAAGGACACCATGTACTCTTCACTCTCTTACCTAATCGTCACATCATATTTTCGTTTCATTTGAACGAAGAAACTAATCTAAATGATTATTTTAAACAATTGCAAGAGTTCATGAACATGTTTAAAATGTTACGAGCACAGTTGGAACCTATCTAATTCATGGTATAACCGAAAAACTTCCATTTTGATCACATCTATGATCACATCTACAACAAGGCATTGTCACGTCACGTCACGTCACACAAAGATTCATAATATCCTCTCCCTCGCTATATCCACGGAAGAAAATATAACCTTTCTCCATCTCTCTATTCACAAAAGTAATACAAAACGTCGACCTGAACATAACTCAACTAGTTAAAATATGCATCATTTCTCTCTTAGAACTGAAAAAAGATGTAAAATAAGATATCCATTCTACACGACTCAAAATTATGGTACGATCAATATACTTACATAACCTAGAATTAATGAAAACAGCCCCTTAATGTAAAGCCAAAACTCAAAACAAACAACAAGGTGTACAAGTTTTCAGTAAATAATGAATACATATGAACTTGAAACTCAGTCAAATGATACAAAACACAAGGAAATCAGGCCAACAAATCTTACATATTGTATAGACAGTACTGAAACTGTGGGAAATTTCTATCATAATTCTCAAAGATAGTAAAACCATTGAGATTCACAACAGTATAATAGTTTGGGCAGCTACAGCCATATGAACAACCAAGAGAATCAAATTCCAATGATATATCTAAAACAATATGAATCATTTCTATAATCTGGGAATAAATCTACACATAAAAGATGTATGTTTTGAATCTACCTTACAATTGCCATATGCTTTCATCTTTGTCCTCCCAGTGAGAAGTTTATGTCACTGGTCTTCAGTTCATCGGCCGGGTTTCAAAATTGAACACAAAAAGATATAAAAATCCCAAAGGATACACGTTAGTTCATCTTTACTTTTGACAGTTGACTGTGGATAATACATCTCTATACGTCTGAATCTGTCCCTGCCATCAGTAAACTTGCGTTCCTCATTGCAGGAGCATATATATATATACACACACACTTCAACTATAAACACATTAGTAAAAAATGCTTAATAACATATCACTTCATGTTTAGTGAGCTTTTAACATGCTTCCTAGTCAAGCATTTGGGTCAAACCACCCTACCACCTACCACCCTACACGTAAATCACTATGTAACAGTCCAAGCCCACTGCTAACAGATATTGTCCTCTTTGGGCTTTCCCTTTCGAGCTTCCCTTCAAGGTTTTTGAAACGTGTATGCTAGAGAGAGATTTCTACACCCTTATAAAGAATGCTTCGTTCTCCTGACTAACCGAGGTGGGATCTCACACACTATTTGTCACAAAACAACTTTTATGTTACCCCAAACATAACTTTTCTGAGTGGCACTCTCAAACATAGTCTAAGACCAAAACCTATTAAGAAAACTCAGTAGGTCTTTCCGGCAACCGAGAGTGAAAACATGTCTGCAATTTCCTCTAGAGCGTTGGATTCGGCTATGGATTCGCTTTAGTAACTATCAATTTGACCGATATGAAATTTGACACTCGGGAGGAGACATAACAGAGGGAGAAGAAGTGCAAACGCATACCTCACCAGACTGCCCAATCACAATAACTATTTGTTGCTGGACGAGGATGTGACCATTGCCACGGATTCAGGCTGTTCAGACTCACTAGGGCTTCCTCGTGAAGCTTCCTTTTTCAACTTGTGATTGTTGTATGCCACGACCCCGGCAATTGCTGTATCAAGGTGATAGTAATTAGAAACAAATATGGGGATTCGACCTTCTAAACTTGGATTTTTTTATATAATTGCGAGAATACCGTGTTCATAATGATAAACTTATGATTCCTTGAAAGAAAAAAAAAAAAAAAACAGCCAGCTATCTAAAGAAAATGTCCTTGACTTTGCCACATGATAACAATTAGAACAGGGATCTTATCGGAATAGTCTCCAGGGTCAATTTAACTGAAACAAAATTCCAGACGAACAAGGATAGACTAGAGTATAGAAGATATGCCTACCTTTAGCAGGCTATGAGTAAATCAGTTCATTACATTAAGATATGAAAAATCGCCACTAGTCATGTACTTACCAACGCCATATCCAAAAAGATTAATGATGGTCAACTTTACATCCGCAAATAAAAGAGCCGACAGTAAGACCACGATCCAGTCCTTCACGACTCCAGCAACACGAATGGTCAAGGCACTTGTATGCGTAATAACAAGGAAAACTGAGAGGTTTAGTGCAAAAGTACATAGAGAGTTGAGCACTAGAATAACAGGAGGAAAATTCCATGATCCACGAGCTTCCATCTTTGGTTTCTCCAGAAAGATCCATGGGATGAGCAGGCAAAGGGCACTACACCAATCCAATAAAATCATTATTGTAAATATGGATGGCTCTGTATGTGGTACAAAAATTTTCAACAGTGTCAATGTTTACAAGAAGGAGAAAGTATAGAGTACATGCCTGCAGGGACTAACATAGTACATGATAGATATCGGATTTAACTTTAGGCCCTTTCTTTTAACCAGAATCTCCATGAAAATTAGTCTTAGAGCTTCTCCTACAACGCCTCCCATTTGGTAAACAACACCAATCCAACTGATGTTTATTTCTCCATATGAAGCCACTAGAACACCAAAACTTATCACTGACATGATCAGTAACATTCTACAGCTCATTAACTCAAGACCTGCTGCTACTCCAAGAATAAATACGGCAACAGGCACTGCAAGGACATTTGGGTATCCATTGAAATGGTATCAAGATTAATGAAAAATGAACCAAATTAATATTAGGAAATATGCACCAAAGGGTGCTATTGGGATGGTACTCTATTCCACTAAAACTTACTGATTGCTTTCAGCATTTGTGCGAAGGCAACAGAGATATACAGATAGGCGGTGTTTCCGAGCCAAAGAGTCATTGCAAAGGTTGCACCAATTGGGATTACTGATGTAGCATACCTAAATCATAACTATTTCTTTAAATTTCACGCCAGAAATAAACGAAGCAAACTTTCCTTTTTAAAGAAAGCATCCAGATCAAACAACTCTAAAGAGAGAACGAAAAAAAAAAAAAAAAAAAAAA